GCCTCAGCATCACATTGCAGGCTCATGTTCATCTTGTGGTCAATCATGACCCCAAAGTCCCTTTCATCCGTAGTGCTAGCCAGCGTAGCACTGCCGAGCCTATAAGGATGCTGCAGGTTTTTCCTCCCAAGGTGGAGAACCTTGCATTTTTCGGTGTTAAACACCATCAGGTTCTCGTCTGCCCATTTCCTGAGCCTGTCGAGGTCAGCCTGGATCACCTTCTGTCCTCAGGTGTGGATGCTTTACCGCAAAGTTTGGTGTCATCGGTGAACTTGGCCAGTCCACTTCTGACTCCAATGTCCACATCATTAATGGAGATGTTGAACGAGACAGGTCCGAGGACAGAACCTTGAGGGACCCCACTGGTCACAGGGCACCATGACGATTGACTTCCGTCAACCACCACCCTCTGAGTCCCCAGCCAGCGGATTGTGGTGGACCCGAGGCCGCAGTTGGCCAGTTTTGCCACGAGTTGATTGTGGGATACCAGATCGAAGGCTTTTTTAAAGTCAAGATATATGACATCAATCTCCTCTCCCTTGTCCAGGTGATAGGTCACCTGGTCGTAAAAGGGAATAAGATTGGTCAAGCAAGACCTACCCACAACAAACCCATGCTGGCTGTCCCTTAGGATGTTGGTGTCGGCCAGTCCATTAAGGATGGCCTCTTTGATAATCTTTTTTAAGACCTTCCCCGGGATAGAAGTCAGGCTAATGGGCCTGTAGTTTGCTGGATGTACTTTCCTCCCTTTCTTGAAGATAGGCACCACATTGGCCGCCTTCCAGTCTTTGGGCACTAGACCAGAGCGCCAGGAGTTCTTGAAGATCCGTGCCAGGGGCTGAGCTATGATGCTAGCCCTGTCCTTGAGTACCCTGGGGTGCAGATTGTCAGAGCCGGCTGACTTGAAGGTGTCCAGCCTCTCAAGGTGTTCCTTTACAAGGTCAGCATTGATGGAGGGCAAGGAATCTCCCTCACTTGGGCCTCCGTGTCCCGTGATGGGCAGAGGCATCCCATAGGACTGGTGAAGGACCAACACAAAGTACCCATTTAGTAGGCTGGCTTTTTCCTGGGCATCAGTCGTCAGTTGTCCTATCTGGGTTAGCAGGGGTCCACTGTTGGTGGATGCCAAGGAAGGTATGACAGGAGATGGATCACTTTAGATCAGGGTGGACAAAATAAGTCCTGTGGGCCAGATCTAGCCTACTAAGAGATTTTGTCTGGGCTGCAGCAGGTCCCTTGGCCCCGCCTGGCCCAGGCTTGGGGAGCAGTCCAGCCCGTGGTGTATGTGGCGGCACGGTAGCCAGACTCCATTTCCTGGCAGCCCAGGTCTTGTCCACCCTGCAGTCACCGCTGTGGGTGGGACCACTGTGGGCAGGCCACTTAGCTGGGGCCGTGAGTGGGTGGGGAGCAGTGTCCAGGAGTGAGATGGGTGGGCAGGGCCAGGGAGACCCCAGGATATTGGGGCAATGACAGCATGAGGCCGAGGCCTGGGGTAGAGTTGTGATCTTCTGCCTGCATGCCATTGTGGTGGGGCAGGGGAGTGGATTGCAGCTCTGCCCCAGCCCTGGCCCTGCACTGTCATTGCCCTAAGATCCTGGATCTAACCCCATATGCAGCTGCCCACTCACCTGGCTGAGTGCCCTGCCTGTACAGCTCCTGGCCGGTCCATAGAAACCCCAGGATTGTGGAGTGGTGACTACATGGGGCTGGGGTTCTGCAGGCAGGGATGTGGGGAGCAGATTATGGCTCTTCCCCGGCCCCACGCTGTCACTGCTCTGTGATCTCCAGGGAGACTGGCTGGGAGCTACACAGGCAGGACTCACAGGTGGGCATGGAGCTTCATCCAGGCCCAGGGCCAAGATCTTGAACTGGTGACAGCATGGAGCCAGGCCTGGGGCAGAGCTGCAATTTGCTCCCTATATGCCCATGCCTGCAGAATCAGTGCTTGTCTCAGGGGTGTCTGGGCAGCAGATTGTGGCTCTGGCCCTGTGCTATCACCACCATGTGACTGCACCCTGCGATTCTGGCCCTGCCTGTGTGTCCTGCTCCTGAATACCTCTTCCTACCTGCCTGTGGGCTCATCCCACATAGGGAGTTTTGGTGAGTTGTGCGGGGAAGGGGAAGAGTGCTGACTTGGCCCGCAACAGCTCATCTAAACTCCCTATGTGGCCCATGGACCCAAATTGCCCACCCCTCCTCTAGATACCTTCTATTCATTATCTCTTCCCCTGAAGTATCTACTATAGCAGAGCTTCTGCACTGGTGCTGATACAGTCCCAAACCCTGCCAACTGTGGCATTGCTATATTATACAGTTTATGGTTTGGTACAAAATGGTACATGGAGCAGGAAGGAAAAGAAAGCCACCACACAGAAGTGTGGACCAGTAGACTTGTCCGAATTCTCATAGCTCTGAATGGGATTCTAGTTGCCCCAAAGGCAGATTAGTCACTGCATGCATGTGTTGTGTTGTGCATGTGTGTGGTCCCTATAGATCTGTAAGAGCAGATGGGGTGGTATGCTCACCTGGGTTGTTTTGGGAGGCTTGAATGGAAGATACTGCATAAATAAGTCATTGAGACTTTGGCCAGCAGTTTATGCTGGTCTCTGGTACAGTATAGTCCACAGTGTGCTAACATCATTATTAAATGTGTTCTGAGAGCAAGGAAGTGCCTCTAGGGAGTGCTGTACTTAAGGGACATGTGGATAACATGGGACAGTCTGTTGCCTCAACCTTGCCAGAGAGGAGTGTATGCAACTCAGAAACTGGAATCCAGGGGCTGCCAAGCCACTGGGATCCAGCAGATGGCACTATCTTGTGGTACACAGGTGTTTGGGAAAGCACCCCAAGGTAATGAGGGTGGGTTCCTGATGAGTTATAGAGTCATAGAGGAGTACAGCTTATTGTCCTAATTTAAGAATGTATCTTGTTATCCTCCATTTACTGCTTCTGCAAAACCATTGACCACCACAAGGTTGCTTTCCACCCACAACTGCAGGTGCACAATATTATGCATGGTGTGATATGTATACACTCCAAATGACAGAAGGCAACCAAGTAGCCCTGCTAGCATAACATGGGGTATTGCCATTGTATTTCCTAGGCTTGAGGGTATCTGTCTGTTCTTACCTGAAAGACATGGTTAAAGTTTTGAGATTGGAGAGGCCAGAGGTGTGGGGGGGGACATATTTATTTGTAAAAGGTTTTAGATGGAAAGCCGCAGGATTGAAAAACCTCTCTTTGCCCACAGAAGCAATGAAGTGGGCACATTTAACGTACAAAGCTCCATATGAAAGCTCTTCTTCCAGGTCTGGAACATCCTCCCATGGAGCTGAGGGGTTAGCTCAGCCTCCTTGACTCTAGTTTCTGTCTTCTCTTCTGAGACGGCCAGTGAGGTAGTCAGGTTGTACCAGATGTAGCAGTTTGTGACACAGTCACTAGGGGCTGCAGGGACCAGTTTTTCTCTGAGGGTCAAGGTGCTTAGGGCCCTGCTCTCCTAATGAGGCCTGAACTACACACCTGTGATGTCTTCCCAAAGAAGGAAGTCTATGACGCTATTGACTTCTCTTTCTCTTTGTGTGTCTCTCTCTCTCTCTCGCTTCCCCACCCCCTGTGTCACAGGACTGCTGACAGGATATAGTTCTACCCTTTGGATTGGGCTCAATGACTTGGATATCAATGGGGGCTGGCAGTGGTCAGACAACTCGCCACTGAAATACCTTAACTGGGAGAACGGTAAGGCCTTAAGTGCTTAAAGGGTACTTAAAGTGTTGCATGCCGTGGGGGAGGATCCTGCAGAGAGCAGGTCCGGGGAAACTCAAAGCAGAATGTTGTGGATAGCAGTGGGGAGGTGGCAAGTTCATTCAGAGCCAGTGTCAGCCTCCTCCTCCAGAGAACTGAAAAGAGATGGTCCAGGATGTGGCAGCACTCAGCAGGCAGGTTCTCTCGCTGGTGTCTGTGTCGCATGAAGCAAGGGAGACAGTGCCAGATTACAGCAGTCTTTCATTTGATATGGGATGACATTACTCACTGTGCTCTGCGTGATGCCTGGGAATGGAGTGCTGTATAGAAATGAAGCACTGATGCCATGGCAGGATCTAAGGCTGGGGTGGGCAAAATGCAGCCTGCAGGCCAGATGCCGTCTACCAGGCCATCCTATCTGGCCTGTGGGGCCCCTAAAAAATTTAGAAAACTAACATTTAGCTGCTCCTGGCTGCCTGTCATGTGGCCCTCAATGGCTTGCCAAAACTCACTAAGTGGCCCTCTGCCCAAAAGAATTGCCTGCCCCTGGTCTAAGGGGAATTGTCAGCAGGAAACTGCGTTGCCCTTGAACAAGCCTTAAGATACCGTGGGACTCTGTACCACATGATACCAGGGAAGTCAGGGCCACATGGTGCAGTGAGATTCCACAGTGTGGTGGATGCCCCGGCTCTGTGAAACTTGGTGGTAAGGGGAGAGGCTGACACTGCAGTAATCCAGGAGTGAAATTAGACTCTTGCTGCCTTCACTAGGAATTTTGCCATTGATTTCACTGGTGTCTGGATCTCACCCCAGTGCCTTTCCCAGCACTGATTAGGGGTGGGAACAATTCTGAACAAATGAATGTCTTTAAAATCAGTATAACCCAAGCAGGGACCACAAGCACTACAGTTTAATCATAATAATATGGTTACTGCAGGGCAGAGTTAAGGTTATTTGGATAGCTTTATTGTTCTATCTCACCATGTTTGAATGTCTTTTAAATGTAATCTTAATTCTGAATTCCTTGGGTTTCTCAGGCTTATGAATTTATTTTATTCATAGGTGACTGATGTGTTCTCTCAAGTATAGTTGTGTTTTAACCTAGTTTTTTCCGGGAATGAATGTCCTGAACAAAGGAGGCCAGCTATCTGTTTTTCAGTGCTGTCTGTTGTCAGTGCTGCTTCCCCCATTGACTTCTAATGTACTTGTGCATGCTCCGCACATCAGGCCCTAGTAAGTTTCAGGACTAGACAGAGCTCAATTGTCCGAATGCAAATATCTGCACTGACACCAGCTAAGCCAGGTATCATTACAAAGGCTCCAGACCTTAATGTTTCAAGGCAAAAAAAGTGATTGCCCTTTAGCATTTGGGAAGAAATTTTCTCTGCTGCTAATCTTTACTTCAAGAGCAGCATTACAGCGTTTCATTCCTTTTTAAGCATCTAGCATTGTCCACTAGATGGACCACGCTCCTGTGTGATGATTTGTTTGAATTCTTATATTATCCGTCTAGATGACAAGCTTTCATGCCTGTGTTTTCCCTACCTTTCCTTTTCCTGTCCCCTTCATCTACCTATAGATCAGCCTGACAACCCTAGCGAGGAGAACTGCGGGGTGATCCGGACGGAGTCATCGGGGGGATGGCAGAACCGGGACTGTAGTATTGCTCTGCCTTATGCCTGCAAGAAGAAACCCAACGCCACTGCAGATCCATTCACTACAGGTTAGCTGGAAGGGCTGCCTGTTTTGCAGGCCTCCATGAAGGAGTTCATACCCTGGGCTTGTAGCAGTATCCTTCTTTTTTTTCCACCTTCTCTTTCTTTTTCCTTTTTAAAATAAAAACCCCAGCCAAACTGAACATGCCTGTAGGTACCTCTGGCCAGGTCTAGGCTGTATCACCCCATTCCCTTTCCCAAATAGTTTTCAAATAGTCATAAATACAGAAGTGGGGTCTGTCATCACTGTTCCTATTGCCTGTACTAGGGAGGAGCAAACCTGAACTTTTGCCCCAGTGGCAATTGGAAAGCTTTGTCTCTGACTCAAAGCACATGATTCTTTGAAGTGCAGAAGGATTTGGATTTGTTCCCAACATCTCCTGTAGGCTCTGCACTTCTAGGTGGGATCTAGAGACGTGGTGCAAAAAGCTGTTCTGAGAAAACTCATAGGACAAAAAGTGTCCCCAGGGATTTTGTAGAGGATGAATTTCTGTGAACTTTTGCAGTTGGTAACCAATTCCTTTCCCCTTGTGCAGTGTGTAACCTCTGCAACACTGCTGTTCTGGTGGGATGCATTTTACCCCCACCTGGCATCACCAGGCCCAGATGTAGGAGACTCACCAAGTTGTGAAGAATCAGGCCCCTTTTGAATGTGCCCCATCCTGACCAAGACTTGGGTTCTGTTGTTCCTTTTATAATGAATGCAAATCTAGAGTGCTGCTCACTTCGCAGGCATGTCTCCTTTTTTAAAGGGATAAAATACATGATGAGGAAAGCAGTTGAGATGCCAGAGCACACCAGTGGTGTAGCAAAACGCCTGGGTGTCCAGGACACATGGGCAGCAGCATATTCAAGTTGCCACCGTGCTGCTGGCATGATCACGCGATTGCTGACAGCAGCATTTTGGGGTTTTTTTTCCCCTTTTTCTACACCCTTCTCCTCCCCAATCAGTGTCCAGGGCATTTCAGAAGTTACGCCACTGAAGCATGCCATGGGAATGATGCACATTTCAGCTCTTCATTCTAGGCCTGTATCATCTCTTCCGAATTGTGCATAGAAAGCAGTGAACATGTATCCCAGGTGTACTGAGCCTCCTACTTTTAACTATGGAAGGAAAATATTCCCCCCAGAGCAGCACTGCCTAGGGACACTCAGTGCAACTGTGAAATGGAAATCAGAACAGTGAAGGAAAATGGAAGATCAAAGAGGGGGTGACAGCTTTGGCTAAAGTGATTCTGGTTTCAGCACCATGTCAGCTGGGTCTCCCCATTACTAAAGCACATCGGCTTCTTGTCACATTATTGCTGGTGCATGGCCTTCTCCATCCTGCAGGCCTGCTGCCTGCTTGGGCCTGCTGAGGTGCCAGCTCAGCTTGCTTCTCAATCTCTTGCTGCCTTTTTAATCTTGCAGCAAGTAACTAAATCCCTCCCCAGATAACCTAATTTGGACTTAAGGTTGCCCCTGAATTGCTTGAGGGGGACATCCTGCCAACTGACAGGAATGAAAAATTAGCCATTGCCCCATCCCTTGCTGCAGTGGTCTTATAGGGATGCTGTCAAGTTGCAAGGAAGGAATGTCCTTCAGGAGCCTGCACAACTTGCCCCCTTTCCCTGGCTCTACCTTCTTGATAGTCTATTATGCCCTATAGCCTTACCCAGCCTGCTTTTTTTAAGTGGACTATTCAGAGCCTTGGTAGAAGGGCTCAGACTGGCTTCCATGATCCCTACATTTATTCACAAAGTAGACAGTACTCTACATGGAGCAGCAGGAGCTTCCAAAACTTTGCCCTTCCCACAGGCATACCAGTGCCCTCCTCTGACAGGAGCAGCAGGAGGGGAATGCATGCCTTTCTAGGGACGAATCTTTGCCTTCACCACAGCAGTTAGGTCAGAGGTACTGCACCCGAATTACTTAGCTCACATTCAGGGGAGAGAAACTGCTACAGCACATCGTAGAAAAGGGATGGGACTAGAAGAATGAGAGGGTTAGCAGAGTGATGAACTGTTGTGACTTGAACAGTCACTGCTCAATTACTAGCTTGGGCATTGGCAGAACTAAAACTTAAACACATCCTGCATCCAGCTGGCTAGTTTCAATTAAAGCACCACTCAGAGAGACAGAGATTTCTGTGTGTGGGTGGGGGTTGGGTTAATGCGGAGAGCTCAAGTTATACTTCAAAAATGCAAATTTCAGTAAAAAGTCATTAGTAGGGGTAGCTCTGCGGGACCAGGGACCAAAGGCAAAAGGAGTGCATGAAGAGTGGTCGTTCCTTAAGGACACGATCCTTGAAGAACAAAAGAAGTCCATTCCCATGCAGAGGAAAGGTACCAGAAAGGCTGAGAAGCCCTGTTGGCTAAACAGGGGAATTGCAGTCCTCCTAAGAAAGAAGAAAGAGGCATACAAACAATGGAAGCCTGGGACAGGCCCCAAAGAGGACTATACAACAGCAGCACACACTTGTAGGGAACAAATTAGAAAGGCTAAGGCAGCAACTGAACTTAAATTAGCAACTGGAATCAAGGGCAACAAGAAGCTCTTCTTTAGGTACATAGGGAACAGGAGGAAAACAAATGGGAATGTGGTGCCATTGCTCAACAACTCAGGACAGCTGGTTACCAACACTCAGGAGAAAACTGAACTCCTGAATGACTACTTTGCTTCAGTATTTCATCGGGCCAAGGGGAAAATCATACCAGATAGGGTACAAAATGAGCAGCTCAGGAATGACTGCCTTCCTACTATTGCTGTAGAACTGGTGTGTGATCACTTAAAGAAATTAGATATATATAAGTCAGCAGGACTGGATGAACTCCATCCGAGAGTGCTGAAGGAGCTGGCGGGAGTCATCGCGGAGCCCCTGGCAAAACATTCCAAAATTCATGGCGCTCCAGAGAGGTCGCTAAGGGGTGGAAGAGGGCTAATGTTGTGCCCATCTTCAAGAAGGGGAAGAGGGAGGACCTGGGTAACGATAGGCCAGTTAGCCTAACTTCTATCCCAGGGAAAATCCTGGAAAAATTCATTAAGGAGTCTATGTGCAATAGGCTTGCAGAAGGTGGGATTCTGAACGACAGCCAGCATGGCTTTGTCATGGGCAGGTCTTGTCTTACCAACCTCATCTCCTTTTACGACCAGGTAACTTGCCACCTAGAAAAGAGAGAAGAGTTTGACATTATATACCTCGATTTCCAAAAAGCCTTTGATCTACTATCCCATGATGTTCTCGTGAGGAAACTGGAGGATTGTAGGCCTAACTGAGAGACCGTTAGGTGGGTTGGAAGCTGGCTGCGGGGTAGGACTCAAAGTGTCCTAAAGAATGGATCTGTGTTGTCCTGGCAAGAAGTGGCCAGTGGTGTCCCACAGGGGTTGGTGCTTGGTCCAGTACTTTTCAACATCTTTATCAATGATTTGTATGTGGGGGTAAAGAGTTCACTGGCTAAGTTTGCGGACAACACCAAGTTATGGGGAAGCATGGTCATGCTTAAAGATAGGCAACAGATACAGATAGATCTAGACAGGCTAGTAAGTTGGGCAAATCAGAACCAGAGGAAGTTCAGCATTGAGAAATGTAAAATTCTCTGTCTAGGAACAAACAACCCCCTACACACCTATAGGCTTGGTGGCACCAAACTGATCAGCACCACGAACGAAAGGGACCTGGGGATAATAATAGACCACAGTATGGATATGAGCCGGCAGTGAGATGTTGTAGCTAGTGACAATCCTCTGGCATGCATCAATCAATGCATCTCCAGCAAAA